TCTGGCCTCCTCCAGGGTATCGTGGAGTACTTCTTCGAGCTGTTGGATGCGAAGCTCACGTTCCTAGACGCAAGGTTGCCATCAGACACTACCAAAGCTACCAACTTTCAGCAGGGCATAATTCTAAAAGTTAACCGTGCTCCTCGTCGGGCAGTGCTCAAGATTCATTTCCTTTAATTCTTGACCTGTGCCTGAACATCTTTCAGGCTGCGGACGCGCAGCAACTCGAAACAACATGTCTGGCAACGTGTTCAGGTCGTGAGGAATTGAAAGACTGCGGGCGGAGTTTGGGTTGCCACAACATTGGCGGTCCAATTTCCCTAATGTTGGCGACCTTTCCTGGGTTTGAGAAACCCACTCGTTTGAACCCAAATCGCTTACGTGCTCAAAATGCTTGTGAACCCAATGGTTCTGCTTGACACCTGTACAATTCGACTGAACCTTTCGAAATCTCATTCGCGCCCAACTGAAGACAAGGCTGCGGAAGGCCTTCCCACTGTCAAATGCCATCAAGTTCATCCAAACGCCATCATCTAACTTCTGCTCCTCGCCTCTCACTTTCCTGCTAACGCCGAAGACACTCCCTTGCACGAATTCAGAACCAGTTATTTTCAGGCAATTCCCTTGGAAAGTCGTGGTGAACGCCATTGCCTAAGGCATTCCACTGTTATCTCTAAAGTGCCGCGTGCATGCGTACGACAACTCTGGATTCCTAGCTAGGAAGCATTGGGAAGCCCCAGGAAGCCTCTTAAAAGTGGGCCTGGGAAGCCGAAGCCCAGGAAGCACAGACAACAAGAAGCAAAGGGTGAATGCAACAAGTAGTACAGCACCATACATGTTCTGATGATGGGCCTCTGAGAAGTCTACGAGGGCCTGCCCAGCGTTGATACACCCGGACTTCTCATGTCTTAGAAAGAGCACGCTAGAATGCCAGCCGCCCCCACTGAGCTCGCATGAGCTCGCACTGTTACACTGCAGACGTACTTCAATCCAAACCCGTGCCTTGCCCGACTCGATGGTGTCTTCAAGCTCCTGTGTGGGATTGTGTGGTGATCTGTAATGCACGGATGGATCTGATCCTCGGATGTATTCTCCTGGCCTTGATGCGTGCCGATCGGTCGTAGGCTGCCCGAAGAGCTGCTGCAACTCGGTTTTCGAGCTCCTGTACCTGATGCTCTGGGACTCTGGCGCCACTGCATTCCAAAGGTGCAGGTTCTGAGATGCAAACTCCAGCTCCGAAGACCAGAAGAAAAGCTGAGCATGCCCTCCCCTCAATCCAGCCTTCGAGCTGTGCATCCCCTCCAGCTTCAGCTGCTCCTCCTAATTTTGAGAGCTCCACAGCATATATTCAGAGATCATGACCAAGCGTGGAAACCAATCAGTTTGGGACCGTGGGTAATTATCTCTGAGGGGTATTGGACGGTGCTGCGGTGACTGCTGAAATCGACAAGCAGGGGGAAGCTTTTACAGCCCATTTGCGGCGCATGCCACATTGAGCACATCTGGGAAGTCCTACCGAAGCTTCGCTTAAGGCTTTGACCAGGCGGAGCAGTCAACTTGCTTTGGTCGTTGTGTTGACAGCATGCCTTGTACAAATGGGAGCGTAATTTCTCATGCGCATCCCGTGGTTGCTGTCACCCGCACCGCACCGTCCTCACCCACTCCTACACGCCAGGCCGTTCCGAACAATGTCTAAGACGAAGTACGCCGCTCGTTGTGTGTGCCATTCGTCTCGTCTTGCTGAAAAATGCCTTGACAACTGTATGCGCACTCTTTTGGTGGATGGTTCTCTATATAAGTCATTGCTTGTGCGAGCATCCGGTATGTTTTTTGCTGTTCCGTGGATGGGTTTTTAAGAATGAGTTGCCATGTGTGCGCTTGCTTTTTTGTTGCGCTTCCTGTCAGGGTACCATGGCATCTGAGGATGGGGTAGTGTTAGCGCGTGCACATATCCTGTTGAAAAGGTGTGTATGCGGTAACAAGTAAAGAAGCAAGACGGGTTGGGAACCGATTCTTCTGGATGGTTCCCTCACATGAATGTAGTGTAAGCGTGTATTTTGTGATCAGAAAACGGTTTGTCCAGGTATCCATTAGTTATCTGACCAACCGAGTGAGCATAGTCTTTGGAAGAACATTCTACGATACAGCATTATCGTCAGTAGAAATTTGTTTCACAACGGGGCAACAGACTGCAGTCTTTAGAATGGCTTGGCTCATCTTGGTTTGGAGTCGTTTGATCTTTAAGTGTTCTCGTTGTGACATCGCTTCCTCACGTGTCGTCCGCTCTGTCGCCATGCTTGCCGTGGTATGATTGTACTTATGTACTCGCTTTGAGCCTCGTTGTGTGAACTACTTTCGCCTTTTTTGTCTCACCGTCATTTATTTGTGGACTCACTTCTGTGTTGTGTCTTCGTTTTGACCTTATGGGATTAGCTTCTTTCCATTGTTTCGTGGTCCGTCGACTCGAATCGCAAGTCCTTCCTACTTTCCTCCTCTTTGCTTCCTTGCTTCTCATCTGCCTTCCTTTCTTTTCTTCCTTTCCTTCCTTCCGCCATACTAGGAACAACGAATGAGACCGAACTTTTGAATTGCGAAACAGAGTGTCCTTGATTGCTATACATGATCTTGTTGATTGGCATTAGGAATCCATCCGCACCTCTGAGGGGCCAGCAGCACCTGCAGCAAATCCCAGACAGTCGGCCCAGTACTCGGCGTCCTGCCCACAGCTTTAGACGATGAGGGCAGCAACAGGCCATTGCGTGTGGCAGCCAGTTAACTCAGTTCGTAGGGCATCGTTGCTCCAATCCCGGTCCTCGGCATCCTCGAACCAAAGCCTTGGGGGCTGATCAGCGTTTCAGCGGTTTGTGCGATACTTCTCTCTCTCTCTCTCTCTCTCTCTGTCAAAACCTTCCGTTTCTTCAAATCCTTCAAATACGGCATAAACACGGCACAAACACGGCATACACTGGCATGAATCAACCTCCTCGTTTTCCCCTGCCAGCTTTAGGGCTTCAAGCAAAGGAACGACGAGGGAGACATGCGAAACCTGTAAATAAGATAAGTGCTGTTCGAGATGGGCCCGGAACTCTTTCCGGCAAAAACTCTAACCGCCACTACCTAGGACAAGGGCACGACGCTGTAACACAAGAGGCCAGAAACATTGAAGCATGAAGGATACATATGCATTCCGCGCATCGATTCTACGGCGAGATCGTGGAAGAAGAGAACAGCTTTCAAGCTTGGGTGGGTGCTGGTGCAGCCACACGCACATTTTCGGAGCGAACTGTCAAGCGACGAAATGGCGGACTCCGGCAGCTGCACAAGCACCACGGCAGCCTGATGCGTCACCTCTGCACCTGTGCCATGACAAATGCGAGGACAAGGTTGAACAGGTGACTCGGTGCATGAGTTCCTCGACCTTCCCAGCTCTCGCCTGCAATAGTGATTGTCTCTTCAGGTGGCCCTGGCTTGGTGTTTAAGAGCAGCTGGTCCGTAAAGAGCGCTAGGAACCGGACCTGCAGACAGGGACAGCATCTTGGAGAAATGAAGCTTTCAGCGAAAGGTCACGCCAAACATCCCCAAAAGCCGAGAGGCCTCGCCACAGCGCTCGCGGCCAGGCCCGAAGCAGCGCACAGTTGGTGAACCTGTGTCCACCTCAGCTCGGAGCCCGACGTCGCTAAGCTTGCTGGCCGCTGGGAAGAAGTTCACAGCACAAAAGGAACCGACGCGATTCAGGAACACGGGAGAAGATCAAATGAATAAGGCTACACAAAAGCGCAGTAAGCACAAGATTCAGGACATGGCATAACCCACCCACCCTAGAAGAAAAATTGCAGACCTTAACACACAATGTGAATTCGGCACTGCCGAAGCGTCCCAGATACACTGTCATGCGCAATTGCTTTCTCAACGAACCCAGATGGTGGGTCATCCACAATCGCAACCCAGCCGCATAAGGGAGGTCACCGTCCTCACTGCTCTAAAGACTCCAGGCTTCAAGTTGAGGGTTCTGTAGGGGGCACAGACACTGTCCAGAAGCTGTTTTGTAGGTAGGCCACCTGTGGCTTCCTCTCGACCTTTATGAGGCAGGGTTCTGATCGAGCATTTGGTGTCTTTTTGACCTCTCCAACTAACAAGGATCCTATGAACCAGCGCAACTCGTGGGGTACACGGTGCATCTAAGACTCTTAAGACTCTGAAGACACCGGCGTTTCACAAATCTCCAATTCTCTTCTGCCAGTCCTACACTTGCATGCAGCATTCACAAAGATGTCCTCACTGGCGATTCGTCGCTTATTCTTCTTCCAGCCCAGGAGAACCTGCCGAGTAAGGCTCGCTTCATCTTCCAAACTGGCCAAGGCACGAAAGCTTTAACCACTGCCTGAAGGCTTTCGGAGGCAGCCGGTGAGCCCTGCACCAGCACAACTCGAGCACGTGAAAGCGCAAAGTGCATAACCTGTGTGCGAACCACATGCAGATATTTGCACACATTGCTAACGGCTATCAGTTTGCTCCCTGCCACATCTCAATTCTTTTCATCTGAGCTCACACCTTGACATAGGCTGCACCCCCAGCCGCAGCACAAAGGAACGAAAGTGTCTCGAGCACCATGGCACAGGGCGACGTTGCGCTTGTGGCTTTGGGCTCTGGGCCGTCTCAGTCTTCAGTTCAAGACTGTAACAGCTGGAAAGTTTCGCTCTGGGGCAATGTGGTCGGCAAACCCTAAATCTGCCCAAAAGGAAGGGCAATTTGCGGTGGAAAGTGGCTTTGGTGCTGTACCTGCTGTTGCCCATGACACATGTCACTCTCAAGCTAGGTTTGGACCCGGAGCGCAGTCAACGGAATGCAATCGTCGGCCCAAAAGGGAAGGAGATTTGGGCAGCTGCTGAATCTGCATCCTGCATGTCCCACTGTTGTCAATGCAAGTTGACCAGCATGTGCTGTAGGTGACGTTGCCCACAACCATCCCCCAACTTGTCTTCATTGCTTGCCCTTGGCACACTGTAAGCCGACTCCGGGTGCTCCAACAGCCATGGCGCACTGCCTGCATCTGCACACTTCTCAACTAGCAGCGCTAGCACCGCTAGGCCGAGCGTGACAATGGCAGACTCTACTTACGTGCAATGCTGGTCAGACTCTTGCTGAGACCAGTTGCGCTGGACATGTCATTGCGCGCCTGCAGAGTGGTTGAGCACCTAAGGCAGAGAGTGAGAGGGGTCGCGACGCATGAGGCTAAGCCGCATCGAACTTAGCTTGGCTCACGGACAAATCTGAGGACGGTACAATGTCAACAGCAGAGAGCAGCCCCAATTCCTCCAGTCTTTCCTCAGAGCTCGTGGGGTTCTGCTAGTTTTGCAAAGATTCGCTATCATGGCGTCTCTGTCGCCGGCGTTTGGACTTGATGCCAACAGGGGTCCGAAAGCATTTCTAGACTACATTGACTCCATGCTTCAAAAACTGCTGATCCTGCACATCCCTACGCGCGCATGCTGTGACTACGCCCCTCGCGGTTTTAACGAACAGCCATGTTTTCTCTTGAACTAATACTAGCTCTATCTATCTCTTCGGTGCACAAATGCAGGCGAGAGGCCACCGCGTTCTGTACCACTTGAAACCTTTGGTCAGGAATCGTCAAAAAGCAGCCATGCTAGTCTATAGACTCTTGTAACAGGACAATGCTGAATGTTCAACTCCTTCCTGTCTTGCAGAGATTGCAGAGTCAAAACAATCCTGTTTCAGGCCGGCCTTCCTTCCGTGTCGGCCGGTGGTGACTCCATCAGTGTGGAGTCAACGTCCCCCTGTCCAACTGAAGATAAATTCGCTGTGTGATTTGTTGGAAGGCATGGCAATCTTTGCCACTACCGCAAATGAATGCACGTCTGTCTCCAGATATCTTCTGTCCATGCACACCACACCTGGTCGTCCAAAGCATAGCAGCTCCCGCTTTCACCTCCAGCACAGATCTGTCGGTGTCGAACCACAACGTCACGATGTTGATGCATACCACGATAGTACAACTAGTACGCCATCTCACCTCATCTTAGGCCAAAAGAGCCTTGATGTCTCTCAAATGAGTCAGACTATCCAAGCAGCTTTGCAAGCACAGCACGCGACTGCAAAAGTATCTCCGAAGCCCATCGTAGCTCAAACGCGGATCACATATGTACCAATCACTTGTGAAGTAGCAGGTTAAGTGATTTAGCCCTCCTACGCCCAGGCCACTCAAAAGGACTGCATCCCAGCCTGGCTTCTGGATCGGGGTGAAGTGGATCATGTTGTAGCCCAGCGCAGCCTTGCGAGCAACACTTCAGCTTCTGTTTGCGCCCGAATTCTGCTGGATTCGGTGTCTTGGCACACAGCTTGTCGTTCTTTTGCCGCAAGCTGCTGGGCTGGAGGTCCGGCCCCTGTGAAACATGGCAGCACATGGCACACGAAACTTCGTCCTGCGCCACTGGAGAAATTGCTGTTCAGCTCTAAGCATATTCAGAGCGAGGCAGCAGCGTTACAGAACTGATATTGTCGATGGGCGCAAAAGCATCGTTCTTGGCCTTCAAAGACCTTTTCCAGACAAAGCAGTGCCCCCAGATCGATTTGTTCGCCTTGGAGGGCCTACTCGGGCCTACTGTCTATCAGCGCAGAGCGCTTCTTGCAGCCACTTCCGGCTTACTGGCGCTGCCATCAAGTGTGCTTTCTCGCAAGCACCTGGCAAGGTGTGCAGCTCTTGACAATGACAGCAACTTCAAAAAGGAATAATTAAGCGGGAGTCTTTCGGTGGTAAGGGCGATGTTGACTGCTCAACACAACTTGCAGCGACGGAATCTGAAGTACCTCGGGAAGAACTTCAATCCAAGCTGGGCACTCAGAGGTCTGCCCAACTTCTCGCTGAAGCGCATAACGCCTGACAGCATCTGGGCAAACCCTGGCAAAGCTGAACTGAAGCTGGACTCTCCTTTTTTCTAATCCCTCAGCCTGAAGCACTGGGATCAGAAAGAACGTCACAAACAGGAGTCTTGGTGGCCGTGGCGACAGCTGCAAGCCTCACACATCAAGGCAGATGCAAACACGCCAACCCACCACTTTTTTATCAAGGCTTACAGGCTTCTCTGTGGTATCCTGAAGTCTGTGCACACAAGTTCAGGTTGGAAGGCCGAACGAACTTTTGTTTTAACATGCGTGCTGCTTGTGAGCTCCTGTTCTGCCTGTGTCTAACCACGATGTCACAAAATGTCGCAGCACCCCGCGTCCCCACAAAAATGTGCCTCTCCTGTATCTGTGAGCTTAGATGACCTTTGTCCACTGCAAGGCTCGGAATCGCTCTCTCTCCCTTTATCTCTCCATCTCCTTCCGCGTGCACTCTCAGATCTGCTTTGGGAAAAGCGTTTGTCCCTCTCTCTCCCGAAACCCCGAGACCTGGAGGATCCCCATGCACTTCCTGCATCTTCCTGAAACGGGGATCCTCAGCCTCAGCACAGCCTTTGATCGAGTCTGTGTTCCAGGGGCCGGGACATCTGAAGGCCAGGGCTACTTGAGACAAAACGGCATATGATCTGCATCGTTCGCCTTGCACAGGCACAGGTAGTGGTGCATACCCGGGGCCGACCGGCTCGGTGCAGATCCAATTATATGGTCCCTGTGCATATAGTGACATATATGCAAGGGTTTGGGGGCCGGGCCACCGGACCTACGCGCTGGGGACGGCAACAAAGACACTCCGCGCCTCTGTCCGATGGCAAGCTGGAACCACGCCCAGTACACAGCTGCTGGGTTGCCACTCAACCCACCCTCCAAAACTCACAGGGCTCGGTTTCAGCAGCGTACTCTATATCACGGTGGGATAGTTGCAGCGACTCAAGCACGGCACATCATTGCGCAATCCAGCCCATCCCACCTCGGTGTAGGGGTATCGGGTCTGGGCACCAGCGCTCTGTGCAGGCACCTGCGCCGGTGCCTGCACCTTTGCCTGGCGAGGCGGTTGAAGTTGCTGATGGTTTGGCAGTAACTATTGGCGGCTGTGGCTGCTCCGCAGTGTTTAGCTCCACGCAACAAACTGATGTAGGCGTAGGCAAGATTCTGAAATTGTCCGCTGGTCCTATTCTTGTATTGGTCATACTCAAGCGCATCACTGCAACAAAATTATGCTGCCTTTGCGGCTTCCTCTCCACTTCGAGTGCTCACCGCTCTATGCTCTACTGAAATGTGTTGAGAGAGGTTCTCGCGAGGCCGGGTTTCTTCTACCTGAGACTCTGCGACATGGAAGCCAATCACTTTTCCAGGGGTTGCATTCAAGTCCCATTCAATTTTCTTCCCAATCAACCTGCCTGCAGGCCCCCGCGTCGCCGCAGGATGTGTGAGTACAGCTCATCATGTTGCATTGTCGGACTAGCCAGGAGAGCAACTGGAGGGATCCCCTTCGAGGGTATTGGGGGGCGTTGATTTACACTTGCCTCTGCTGCTTGTCTGAGCCAGATGCCTTCGAACGGAACAGACACAACTGGTACCAGATTCACCAGGCGTTCCAAAGCTTGATTCTCGTGTTAAGTGAAGCCCACGCTAAGCACATTTAACATGTTTTAGCTCCGGGGTTTCCGACATGACTCCTGTATCCAAGTGTTGTCTTCCCACCTTTCCTGGACTCAGCCCGAAGAGCGCCTGCGGCGCCAGTGTTTCTGGCCAACACTCGATAGGCCCGGCCAGGCGTGAGAGGACCGTGAGCTGCACTACCTGGGTCGGGTTCGCCGAGCTCTAAAGCGCTAGCTTTGTAGGGGGCGTAGGGAGCACAGCCGTGCCTTGGACGCTTAACTTCTATTCAGCGCACATCAGCGCACGCTCGTTGTTCTTAGCTTGTTCCCGAAAACCTTGGTTCTTGTTTAGCACTTCAACGCGGAAGCGCGTTCTGCATGATGGGAGAGGGAGAAGCGATGTGCGGTTGTTCGGCGGGGGGGGGGGGGGGGCGGAGTTGCAGGCAGGGCAGCGGGGTGTGCCCTCCACGCCCTCCGCGCCCTCCACACCCCCCCCCAAACAAAAATCATGGATTCGCTCGGGGACCTTTGGGTGGGTCTCAATCGCCCCATTCAAACTAGGCCGGAGAGATGGCGATTGGGGCCAGATGCGGGCGATCGGACTGTTCGTCGCAGGTGGCGACAGAGACCTCAAGGACATCACACCCAACTAAAGTTTCTTTGTGCGGGTGGCGAAGTGGTCTGCACCTGATCCCACGTGGAGTTGGCTATGATGCCCCGGTTCTAGCGTGGATCATCAGGCTAGTCAGTTCCTTGCCGTGCGAGGAACTGTCGCAGGAAGTCAGGCACCGAAATTTTGCCATAGAAAGAGTATAGAAAATTAAGTGACCTGACGAAATCTGCTCTCTGGCATTTGCAAGGACACGCCGATGTCAGAGTTACCTGGAAGTCAATTGCTTGCGGAACGATTGGGCATATGTGGTGATGATACAGGTTGCAGAATCAAGCAGGTCATGGTGCCAAAAGATTTGGTCGCAGGATAAGGCTGCTTATTTGCCTGAGGAAATCTGAGGAAGGTGATCTTGAAGAGGAACATGCATTGCTGGAAGCAAGCAGAACTGCGTTGAGAAGGTGCTAAGCTTGCGCATCGGCGGAGGAGCGTGCAGCCTGCACTTAACAGCCAAGCAGTCTCCGATCGCCAGTCGTCAGAAAGCGGGTAACGCCCATGACGCTGCAGGTTGTCGCCGCCTGTAGGCTATGGGGCGGACGCCGGTGCCACCGACGGATTTATCGGGAGGCCTCCCGCAAGGCTTCTCTTGCGGCACCCATTCCGTCATGCATTTGTTTACGCAACCCGGACCGCATCATCGCACCTATGTTCTTACAAATGGTTTTCCATGCACCTTAATTTTCTGGTAAACCGGAAGCCACGTCGAGAGGGCATGCTGGCATCTCCAACTTCCCAGAATGTCAGCTCTCAGGATGTGCTCAATGAGAAGAACTCTTCTACAAAATAAGCCGCCTGACTAAGAATGCGTTGCATGACTTGATCACTTGCAGGCCAGTATTCCAGCATGCCCAAGCTCACTTTCAGGCTGTCCCAATGCCCCCAGCTCCAAACACCAGAACTCGACTAATTAAATCTGCTGCCAAGAAATCAACATGCAAATCATGCAACCCCTCCCCAACCCATCCCAACCCAAGAACCACCACAGTTTCAGTCCGGCAGCGGAACGGCATGGGAGATGCTGTCCTTTGATTCCTTGCAAAGTAGCCGTTTGAAAAGCAGCCAAGAATGAGACCCTCAGACACACGTGCCTGAATGGGTGTGATGCGCCGACACGCTGGCACCCAGAAACGACTAGCATGGCGGGAACATGTCCAGAACTCAACGTACGTCAATCCCACTACTGAATCCAGAACACCCAAACACCCCGGTATCGATTGTATCGCATCTGGCAGAACCTCACTGCACTTCATTCATTTGACTCCAATGCTGTCACAGTGGCGCAAAACCGGCTCAACCTCAGAAGATTCTGCAAAGATCAAAACCAGCTTCGTTCAAGACACGCAGCGGCGCGGCTACACTTGGGATGTTGTTGAACAGGGACATTCGAAACCATGTGCGAAGAAGCTACGCATGCTTCTTCAGCAGGCAAGACAGGCACGCTGTGATCCCTCTGTTGACATTTGCAAGTCCAAGTTGCCACAAGCTGCCAGGTTGGGGCAACAACATCGATCACCTCCTCAAGGCACACAAACTTTTCAGGTCAAGAGAGGTCAATCCTCAGCCGCACATTTCCTCCATTGGGGGTGTTATTGAAACCCTGAACCCTGCTTTTTCACAGCTCCTCCTGGTTCTCCCCAACACCGGGGTAGAGCACGTGGACTTCGTACGGGCCGGGCCTGTGACATCCCAGCTTGCCACTGTCGGTTGAGAGCTTCAAGACGCAGAGATGCTTCAAGCTTCTGCCTCTCCGGAAGCCACTCTGCCACCCAGTCTGCCGTCGGTCCTCTGTCATCGCCTGGCACCAGATACACACAGCCACTGGCACAATTCCTACCTCGCTCACATTAGGCAACAAATCCTAATGAAGAACGTCCCGTCAGAGAACAGCTTTTGAGTCCGCATCACAGGGCCTTCCAAAACTAGCTCTCCGCCAAGCTCATCACGAACCACCAGTCGCGGGGCACCCCAAAGCGTCCTGGCTCCACACTGCTGCAGGTCCCTGAAAGACCTTGCCTGTCACAGCTCAATGAGCCATCAATTTGCAGCAGAGCGTCGGGATGCTGCCAGCGGCCAAAACTACCAGGACCTTACAGGCCGAGGGGGTTCGAGTTCGAAATCCGACTCGAAGAGTCGGGTTGCGGCAAACCCGCAAACCGTTTGCTCTCAGCTTGCCATCCTCTCACCTTGCCAGCCAGCATCAGGCGACCCGTGTAAGGCACAAACGACATCGCCACAAGCAATCCTCAGCACGCCATCCTTAGGATCGCTAGGCAGTATGGGGTGCGAGGTTTGTGCCTTTGTAGCTTCTTGGGCTTAGCATACAGCGTTCTTGCTGTGGAGGGCTACCCAAATTCACTCTACGACTCACACACGCATTAAATTTGCCAGTATATTCTTTGAAAGGAACTCAAAGCAAGACAAGCCGACAAAAAAGCCAAGAAGCCCGATCCCCTGGCAGCGGCGGCAGCTCGCCCGTGGCGCCAAGCTCCAGGCGCCAGCGTGTGGGCCCAGCCATGGACACCTGGACAACTTGTCATTGAAGGTCCATGAAAATTCTTCCACCGCGATCACCAGTTCCTTACTTGCTTTGATTTCATGTTAAGGCCAAGCGAAGTTTTCAATCAATAGGTTCGTGACTCAACCCTCTGTTTATTGGAGAAATTGGCGCAGAATGAACTTGAAAGGTGCGGATAGGTTGAACTCCGTTGACAATTGATTAGGAATAATGGTGTTTTTGCACCCGGGGAGAGACTTAACGGAGACTTAGCTGTGCATGGTAGCTTGCGGCCCACATCAGCTCAAAGCCAGCAACGCAGGAGTCATGAGAGCCACCTGCCATGGAAGCAATGGCATCTTTAGCCGATTCTAGCCCCTTTCAGGATTTCATTGGAGGTCGGTAAGCCGAAACCTTCGGCAGCTTAAACAACCATGTCTCGAGCAACCTCTACACCCTGCCAGGTCCGCGACAGGTGTTCCTGGTGCTGCCATTGAAAAATAGAACCTGCACGAACGAATCGTTGCTTGTGCATGCTGTGTGCCAGGCTCTGCATGGATCAACACAGCCACTGACTCATTGGAGGCTGAAAGCAACTGCACGATTCCTGCTGCTACCGCCACTTGAGTGTGAGAGGCACGGTCTCAGAACCAACGAAACGTCCCGAAGACATGTTGAAGCTGGCATACTTGGATATACTTGGCAGACTTTGACAGAGCCGATGCTTGACCTCCCTTGGCAACTCAAGCTGAGGTCCACCCTCTCTGAAAGGCAGATAGACGGATGGACACGGATGGCTTTCCTGGCCTCTTTGGCGTAAAGGGTTTAACGGCAGCTTCTCCAGCTTTGTACTTTCTGCACTGAGAGCAACGCTATGAGCTGGCATCTCGTTATGTATCTGCCCCCCCCCCCCCCCCGGTCATCCAGAACCCAAGAACGATCGATGGAACAAAGCCGTCTTTCGGATGAAAGCATCGAAATGGCCCGAGACTGATGCAGCACGGGGCCCGACGCGACCCTGCATTGGAGGACTGCAACCACTTCCAGGCCTGAGACACTGTGCTTCAAGCACAGGCCAGAAACTAAGTGTCTGAAACCCTTAATGGCTGCAGCAAGAAACATGCGGGCGTGGGATAGTGCGCAGAAATGTTCAAACGTGGACCAACCAACCTCTGCACACTTTCCTTCCGCGTCTGTGCAGTCGGTCTATCTATCTGAGATCTTCATCCCACTAACATTTTCCAAGTCACAAGTCTTCCTTGTTCAGAACTACTAGCCATACGCAAGCTGTACAGTGGGCAGTCGGCACGCACGTACTTTCCAGACACCTTCAATAAGACCCCGAACCAGCGAAACGCAAAACAATGTGACGATGTTATCAACACCAACATCCAAACGAGTTAGCCCTGACAGAAGGATATGTCCAAAGTCCTCGGCAGCACGTGACAAGCGTGGTTGGCTAAGGCTATTATGTTACACAGCCCTCGGTTGTAGTGGAGGCTCACGAGTTATTGATGTCAGGGGTTAGTGTTGTGGGTGTGGGAGTGGGTGTGCGTGTGCGTGTGCGTTGCGCGTTGTGCGCTGTGCGATGTGCGTTGTGCGCTGTGCGTTGTGCGCTGTGCGCTGTGCACTGTGCGCTGTGCGCTGTGCGCTGTGCGCTGTGCTGCGTGCGGTGTGCGTGTGCTTGTGCGCGCGCGTGCGTGCGTGCGCGTGTGTAGGTGTGTGCGTGTGCACGTGTGCGCGAAGCGTTGCTTTTCACGAGCCTCTTGCCAACAAGGAGCTTCCCAGCAACAAACACACTTAAAACCACCACATCGCGAACGGTAGCCTTGCTTCCGGCTTGGTAACGCAACCTCCTGATTCCTGACATGTGCGCTTTTCAGACTTGTTTTGGAGCGGCCTGGTTGGGGTTACGGAACTTTGGGGTTCAAAATCAAAGGCGAGACTCTTCGTCCTAGACCATGACAAGGCATCAACTTCACCCTATGCCACTGGAAATGCACGAAGAATCTGTCATCCACATTCTAAAAACGACCGCAAATACCTGCAGCACTGCCCGTTCCCAAACCAAAGTCTGAGCAACAGCCCAAGTCACACAAAACATGCAGCTGAGCAAGCTGTAGTTTTCAGCACGGTCGACGGCACGCGATTCTGGAAGCGACGTCTCACGCAAGTCACTGGCCTGACGCAGCATGTTTTCTCGAAACTGAGAACAGCCGTAGAGTCATTAACCCGAGATCTGCGTGTGACCATGAGTGGCAGAATGCAAAGGTTCAGCTTAGTTGAACATCAAGGGAGCTTAGGGGCCTCAAGAAGCTTAGGGACTTCAGGGACTTCAGGGACTTCAGGGAGTTCAGGGGCCTCCAGAAACTTACAATAGAGATTTTAGGAGTTTCGGAGCCCTCAGAAGCTTCGAGATTTTAACGAATTTACGGACCCAAAGAAGTTTTCAATAGAGACTTCAAGGGAAATTGGGATATCAAGATAGAGACTTTCAGGGCAGCGATCTGCGCATCCAGGCGCGTACGTCTTGTACGCAGCAGTCAGCAGGGAGTTCTTCACAGGTTTGTTGCCACAGCAATATCTATGAGCTCCTACTGCGCTGCAGATGCGCAGGGTGAGATATTCATCCTGGAGGACGCGAGAGCATGTAAACCCGTAGCCGGCTCGTGCTCACAGGAGGCTTCCCCACCAACAAACTCAGTCCACCTGCTCGAAGGCCTCTGTGCGGCGGGTGTTGAAATGGCCTCACCGGGAAACGGCTATGCTTCGCGAAAAGCGAGTTTCAATAATGGCTGCTGGGTTTAGTGCAACCAGCATCCCATCTGTTGTGCTATTTCTACGTAAAACCCTCACTCCCGAAGCGCCCGAATCTGATTCGCAACAGGAGCGCAGCCCTTAAAACTTAGCTCACGTGGTCACGAGTGCATAGTTTGCCGTGCTAGGCTTCATGGAAGCTGGAAATACAGAAATTTACAGGTTTAGGCAGCATTCGAATGTCAATTTTGAGTCCTTGATTTTCGGAAATTCTACAGGGCTATGGCGGAAATGCGGTCCCAAGCCCTGTAGAACCCTGCACTCTGAACATGGCCAAGGCCCGAAGCCAGATGCAGTCCCGTTGTGGTACATGGAATTGGGTACCACAAAGATAACCCTACATAACACCCTAGACGCCCTCAAGCCGAAACACCGCTGGGATCCCCGCATCCGAGGCAACCTCACCTGCAAGAGAGAAAGTCTAGAGCAGGGTGTACAGGATCCAGGGTCTTGGGTGTAGAACCTAGGCCCTCAACCCCAAATTCATAGTGCTCTCACTTCGAGGAACTTCTGCAGCCATGCCTCCAAGCGGGGACCCTATTCTCATCTCTTTGGGGTTTTGCGAGGAGCTGATGCTTTGGCCCTAAACCCTAATCCCGAATCCCTACACCCAGGCGTATCGGCTTTCAGCCTTCGCTGCAAGACATGGTGGGTTTCGCTTTCAGTTTACACAGTCAATTTTCTGCCAGGCAGGGACCACTTCGCACGATGGTTTCAGCCGCGGCCTTTTTTTCGGGGTTTTGCCTTGTAGCCTCAAGGGCTACTACGCCAACCCAGATCCAAGCCATGACGGATGGCGCAGGGGCAGGGGCAGCAGAGAGCCTCATGGAGGCCAGGCGCATCTACAGTGAAGGCCACCTTGGTGCAAGGCCCAGCGCACGCCGCCTCCCAGCAGCTGTTCTTCGAGCAGCGCAGAGCCGCCAAGCGCGGCCCCCCGACACCGGCCTTTTCCTCAACGGGGCTGGCCACCCCAACCGGAGACAACTTTGGGCCAAAGGGACCAGCCGCCTCAGGGAGTACTCCGCCGGCAACGCGCGACACTGGTCTTTTTCAGCCCATGCACTACCAGCAGGAGACGGCCTTTGTAGCCACAGCCCACTCCGCCGGTGTCAACGCGAACAACCCGACAGAGATGGCCGCCTGGATGAAGGAAACGATTTCCACCAGGGCGCAGGTCCTGGACACCATCAGGCATTAATGTTGGACCTGCTTTATTAGGGGGGGTCGCTTTAGAGTCAATTTGGCGGAATTATTCAGGATCTCCTGACTGTTTGAGGGGTCCGCTTTAAAGTCGAACCGTTCCCGAAATCCGGCATTTTTTTAGGATTTGGGGCTTGTTTCGGGCCGGAGGCTCCGGCTTAAAGCCGGGCCTTATGAATTTAAAGCCGGGCCTTAGGATTTCAAAGGCCGATTTCCTGAAGTCCAACCGGCCCGAAACCATTACCTCAAACCCTCAATAATGGGACTGTTTCGGTGCCCGCTTTAGTGTCCGGGCCCCGGCCCGGAGCCCCGATTTTGGATGCCTGGCTGTTTGGGCTTAAAGGCGGGCCTTTTGATGTTAAAGCCGGGCCTTAGGATTTCAAAGGCCGATTTCCGGAATTCCAACCGGCCCGAAACCAATATTTTGCTTTAAGGAAACCTTTTGAAAAATTGGTTTCGTTCAATCCGACAAGGGGGTGGTCCAGGGGCCCCCTCAGACCCTCAATAATGGGACTGTTTCGGTGCCCGCTTTAGTGTCCGGGCCCCGGCCCGGAGGCTCCGAATTTGGAAAAAGCCTATAGATTCCTTTTAAATTCATATAAACTCATCCCGGACCCCTTTTCGATTCGCGCGGCCCCCTTTTAAATTCATATAAGCTCATCCCTTTTAGATTCATACGGATCCCTTTTAAATCTATCTAAACTCCTCCCTATTAAAATCATATAAACCCCCGGGACCCTTTAATCAGGACCCAACCCACGCCCCGACTGTTCAGGGGGGGGGGGGGCCCCACATGAAAGCAGGTCCCACATTACCACACCGCCGTGATTCGCCCAGAGCTCTACAATTTGTTCAACCAAGTTGAGGCAGCATTGGTGGCGCTGGACGATAGACTACTACGCCAAACCAAGGAGTTAGCCTGGATGGCTTCCGAGAACAGAGCCCTCCAGAAACAAAGCGCTGCATTGATGGTCATTTTGACCGGCTGGGACACGAGCATGTCACCCTCCGAACGGCTCTTCATGGTCAACTGGATGCTCGAGCAGATTACCCACGTCCAAGCCTCTTTGCAGCAGAGAGGGTGGGCCAACTTCGACGGCGAGTACAAGTACCTCAACATCCTCTCGGCAGACCCGTCTACTCCGCCGGCAGGGGCGCAGAAGTGGAGTTCTGTAACGCTACTCAGCTTCAAGTCCTGGGATTTGAGAAAGGCGTTCATGGAGGCATATGGTGGCACTCAAGGTACCCCGCTGTACAAGGACGCGCGCACTCCAGTACCCCGCCACCACATCCGGGCTACACCTTCAAGCCCTCAATTCCAACGCAAGTTGGAGATCCCCATCCGAGTACTCCTCCAGGCCCTCAACCTCAAGGAGGAGACCGAGCCCCGCCAGGTGGTGATCCTATGGAACGCTTACGGTGATGTCTCCCCAAATGGCGCGCGGCTTGACGAGCAAGCTACCGCCTGCGCTCGACTCCACTACTTCGCTTCAAGGGCATTCTCGAGATCACCAAGGACATCTCCGATTGGCTCGCCACTACTCCGCCGGACGAGTTGATGACGGAAGAGGCCACGATTTGGTCCTACTGCTGGAACAAGATCGACTTCGGGGTCCAGCAAGAGATCGACGCAGCGGAGCGCGACGACTTCGCCAACGCCAGGGCTGCAGCAAAGGGCACGGGAAAGGGGATGCTCGCTGGAAAGGGGTCCCGTCACTGCACGGCCCCGATGATTTACTCCGCCAGCTCGATGCCCTACCCGATCGACCTCGACATCAGACTGGTGTCCCAAGTGGCCTACGTTTGGGACGAGTATTGTGATAAGTTTGGCGAAAACAACCGCAAATGCGGTGACTACCGCCAGGCTACTTTTTCCGGAGCCCCGGTTACGACCACTCCGCTTCTCACGGCCCCAACGGCCTGAAGGGTTCCAGCTCGAATTCGCGATTTAGCCTGGGAGGTACGTGACTCCTTTTACCTCCAGGCTACTGCGCCGCTCCCCCGCAATTTCAAGGTTCTCCTCGAAAGCAGCTTCACACTTGAAACTTTCTTAAAGGAAGTGCTTCGAGATGTTTTAAGTCAGGGGTTGAGCAGGCATTCCACCCACAACCACCCCGCCCCTCAATTGATAGGTCTTTGCTGTTTCAGAGTTAACAGATTTTTGGGTGCCCCGGGTGATGCAAGATCGCGGATGCATGCTGAGTTTGCAGAGGTCGCCAAACCAATCCTCACAGCTAAAGACCTGCATTGGGATATGACAGTAGTTCGTAGAAGCCGCAAGAGACCCAAGAAACTCCCCACCAATCCGCACATTAAGACCTCATGTACTTACATTTTCATAGCAAGTGTATGCATCTTCTACTACACCTCAACAAGTAGATCCTCTCTCCCCATAGTCCTTCTGGATGCACTGGTAGTTTATTCCTCAACAGTTTCACTAATCAAACATGGAGCTAGTCAATGGGATGCGCACATCCAAAATGGGAACACAACTACACTTCAACTAGATCTTCTAATCCCTACGAAGCATACCGACTGCCCCCAACCCAACCTAGAGTATAATTTTATTCACCAAGCCAAGCTAAGCCGAGAGTTTCTCCTTTCCCAAAGACCCATAAATTCCCCAAAGTCTTCCGACGATTCCCCTTTCCCTCAACTTACTCCCAGGCCCAAAACAAGAACGGGTAGAAGAGTTACTTTTCGTTTCACAGATGGTCGTAAGGTAAACTACACCCGAAGACCACTCCGCCATTTTTCGGCCAGCCGGCCCTTCCGCCCGAATTCACAGAAGGATAGGCCAACACCGCCTCCACGAGGCACGCCGGGACCCGGGCAACCGGGAGACGAAGAGTGTTCCACCCCTCCCCCCCCTTCCTTAGTCCACCCTTTAGGTTTGGGTGCCCGCTCTAGACGCCTTCGGCGGCAGCTATTCCGCCGTTGGCGCAGGAGCGTGGGTGGGCCTATATTACCAGAAGCGTCGGGCAGCGCCCTGGTAAAAGGGGGGGTGCCCTTGAAAGCAGTCAAAAGCAGGTGCCAAACCGGGGTACGAACTTCGTACCTATTCAAAGCCCTCATCCTCAGACCGGAACAAAAAGGCAAACAACAAAAGGCTACTCCGCCAGCAGTAGCCCCACCACCCATGCCATATGGCCAGCCTTTCAAAATAGGTACTCAAAACGTACAAGGCATGGCGGAAATACTCAAACACCAGTCAGTACTCACCTTGCTCCAGAATAGAAAGCTTGACGTTCTCTTTCTTACAGAAACACGAAATACCACCTACCACCAGTTCACCTCAGAAGGGTACAGGTTTATCTGCAATGGTAGTAACAAGGACAAGTTTGCAGGCGTAACAGCAATCATTCCTACCCAAACACTACCACACCTCAAAGATGTTGTTCAACATAGTGCGAGAATTCCTCAAATCACACTAGCAGCATCGGCTGGAGATGTCCACCTCATTGGAGTCTACTCCCCACACAATAAAAGGGATGTTGAAACAAGCAAGCTCCCCTTCTGGGATAAGCTAGATTCGGTCTTGCACAAAATCCCCCAACCGGAGCCTGTTTATGTCATAGGGGACTTCAATGTGAGATTACAGGGTCGAAAACCAGATGAACACCACATGTTGGGTCCCAATGTATATGGTAAGGGTAGACTCAGTATACCAACTACAGAAGGCAACAACCGAGAACTCTATGTGCGATTCCTGAGTACCTCTGACTCAAAGGATGTTCTAACCTACAAGCAGAGTAACCTTTTGAAACATATCACCTACCGAGATAAGTCCCCTCCCCCGATTGACTGGCTCACATTCTCTAGCGACCCCATCGGATGGTTACCAATTTGGGATAGATTTCAGAGCTTACCCCAATCAGAAAATGAAAACCTCAAGGTTGCCGGGAAAGTCCGAGACTATCTCACCAGCTACTCCGCCTTAGTGCAAGAACACCAACGACCAGCCATCGATCCACACAGATTCCAGGCACTCGACCGTCTGGTCACCAGATCTAAGTGGCTCCCCACAGTACAGAAATGTCATGCCGTTCACAACACAGGTTTTGTCAGCGATCATTACTTGTTAGAATCAATTATTAGAGTCAAACTTAAGGCACCTCCAAACCTCCAGCAAGAGACTACTCCGCCATGGACTACTCCACTAAAACTTTGTTCAATCATACCTTTAAAAAATGTGCCAAACACAAAACAGTACAAGCCCGTAACGCTACAGACGCAAAGTGGTTAGTATATACGGATGGTTCTGGAAGCAAAGGCCGATGCTCGGCTACCACGCCCGCAGGCTGGGGCTATACCATTATAATGCCCAATTATGATACCATAACCTCAAAAGGCCCAGTCTGCACAGACCCTCATGCAGCAGTCCACCTAGGAGCGGCAGTTGGTAGTAACAACACAGGAGAATTATGCGCCTGGATGGAAGCTGCATTGTACATATTAGCAGGGACCACTCCGCCTAAACAAACTTTTACTACGACAGCCGGTGGATGGCAGACGGATCCAGGGTTAAAAGACACAAAATCATGATAAAATATGCTCGAATCCTATTGGCAGAACTGCAAAACCGGACCACAGTGGATTGGACATGGATAAAAGGACATTCAGGAGACCAGTACAATGAAGTAGCAGACAGGTTAGCAGATGAAGGAAAACAACTACCGGATCCAGAGGGAGGTAGGCACGACATCACCCCCCTCCTCACCCCCTCTGAGTTCCTAGAACCCATGCAAACCACTGACCACTCCGCATTGGAACGCCTCAATTCCACATTAGTAAAGGCACTGCACAAAGCGGAAGCCCAACACATCCCGCTGCTAAAGCGCAAGCCCAAACAGCCCTGGATGACGCAGGAGTTACTTCAACAGTTTCATGAAGTTCGACACCTTAAATCCATTGACCACTCCGCCCATATCAAAAAACATAAACTCCTCAAAAAACAAGCTCGCAAAATCAAACGGGATTGGACACGCGAACAGTTGCTCTCCGACCCCAACACATCGCACACAAAAATCTGGAAACAAGTACAGAGCTTCAAAAAAGGATTTCGGGCCAGGAGAACCAGGCGTACCTGTCCCATGGACGAACACACACAAAGTCTTTCGAGATCACCTACAAAACACCCAGTGGTCCACACCGGACGTCACAGAAGAAGAGATCGAAATACTCCGCTCTTCCCCACCACTTTTCAAAACTGATGACCTCGACCCGCTCCCCTTCCAGCACGAAGAACTGTACGCGGCCATCCAGGGAATAAGGAAAGGCAAGGCTCCAGGACTTGATGGCGTAAAAGGAGAAATAGTATTACTCCTTGATCACTACGGAGAAACCCAGCTACTCCGCCTAATGAATGCTTGCCTCAGAGCTAGGAAGGTCCCCTCTTCATGGAAAGAAGCTCTAGTTGTAAGTATTTACAAGGGCAAAGGATCCGACTCAGACCCCGCAAACTACAGGCCAATCTCCCTTCTGAACACATTTTACAAAATCTACTCCGCTATGCTGCAAAAAAAGCTAGCCACCAAACACGACTCGCAATTACGTCCCACTCAGTACGGTTTCCGTGCAAAAAGAAGCACAAAACAGCCACTATTTATTCTGCGCAGGCTCCAAGACTACTCCGCCAAAACAGGTCAACCCTTCCAGCTTCTTTTCTTAGATTGGAAACAAGCGTTCGACAAAGTTAGCCACCCCGCCATGATGGTCGCCCTAAAAAGATTTCATCATGATCATGACCGTACTGTTCCATGACACGGACGCTCGGCTTAGAAGCGAGGGTACTCCGCAAAACCCTTGGTCCATAGGTAAACCAATTTATGATCTAGAATATGCAGACGACACACTCTAGTAATGGCAGTTACGGCACCACAGCTAGAATCCTTCTTAGCTTGCATACAAGTAGAGGCCTCACTTTACGGATTGCAACTCAATTACACGAAAACCGAACTACTCCGCCACCCCCACGCCCAGGCAGACATTTGTTTCGCTGATGGCACTCCAGTGCCAGTAAGCGATCAGGTTAAATACTTGGGCTCCAGGATCTGCTGGACTACTCCGCCAAAGATAGCCATTAAACATCGAATGGAATTAGCCCACGCCTCCTTCACGAAGCTCCAGCACATATGGCAGAGTAAATTACTCATAAAAGTCAAAACCCATATCTTCCACAGCTGCATTATACCGGTCTTACTATATTCCCTTGATGTTCTCACCCTAGAAACCCACACCTTCAAAAAAATCGACACCTGGTACCACCGATATCTTAGACGCTCCATTAAAATCAAAGCATCGTACTACTCGCGCATAACCAATCAGAAGGTTTGGAAAATAGCAGGTAAGCCATCTCTACCCTCACAGATACTGCTGGCCCAGCAATTCGGATTACTACAAAGTTCCATTTTTGCAAACCCTCAAGACCCCATTCACCATGTAGTCTTCTCACCCGGATACAAAGACCGAATCAAATTTACCAAGGCCCGCACGAGAGGACACCCCTGTAGATACTGGTTTGAATTAGTATCTACGGAAGCAGTCAGATTCTATAACCACCACTCCGCCACGGACCCAGAAGCCCGAAGGGACTTCCTGGGCTTAAAACATTTAATTACCAAAGACACCCGGTTTGGCGACCTCTTACGCACTGCGCCAACGCGCGCACCAAATATCTTCCCAATGTACAGCAAGCATGTTGGAAGCGCATGGCAGCCCTAAAAAAATCCCTACACCCCCGAAGGTAGCAACCCAAGAGAAAAGAATCGTCTGTTGGAGAGCTCGCAGGTGTGGGGCAAACCCATTTTGGAGTTATGGGTTTGCGTTCCCCAAGAGGGTCCACTCCTAGAATCATTCTTGGACTATGTGTGGGCTTTGATTGGGCGAATTCCACAATAGTAATATAGTTTGCCGAGCAGTGCT